TTTGCTTTTTTCTCCTGTGGTCAGGCCGATGGGGTTATTCCCAGGAATCCGAGCTAGACAGTGGCCTAAAGTCGTTGTTTTCTGGCACTTTTTTTAGTGCTATGTTTCGGTAATGGGATGAACAGCAGTGTTCTGCACCCACCCTCTGCTTCACTGCAAAGAGAGTGTCTCTTCCCGTTCTCCCCATCTCTGTGCGCTGCAGAGCGCATTGGGCAAGCTTGCTCATCAAGAGCCTTTAGCCAAGTCTTTATATCTTGGTAGGAAATACAAGCCTCTTATCTCTTTCTTCCCCAGCTGCCTGACGGGAGCCTGCAGCTCACTCTCTACCAGTATAAAACATGTCCTTTCTGCAGCAAAGTCCGAGCTTTTCTTGATTATCATGGGTTGCCCTATGAAATTGTGGAAGTGAACCCAATAATGAGGAGAGAAATCAAATTCTCTTCCTACAGAAAGGTGCCTATCCTGCTAGCCAATGCTGGAAGTCCCCTGGTAAGTTGGGAAAATGCTGGAGCAAAGGCTTTAAGGATTTTTTTTTCCAGTTTCACCAAGAAGTCCTTCTTAAAAAAAAAAATGTATTCTGTTTTTCAGCAATTGAATGATTCTTCAGTGATCATCAGTGCAATAAAGACGTATCTGATTTCCAAGTAAGGAAATAGAAGGATGGGTGTCAATTTGAATGTGAATAGCCCTAGCAAACTGGAGATTTAGAACACCCTCTTGGGGATTAGCTCCTTCCTATCTTGTTGACCTTGTTTGCGGCTTTGGGTATTTGTTCACTTGACCTGATCCCAGCTCTGAGGGTGTAGATAATGCTGTGGATAATGTGTTGGGGTGTGTGTCTGTGCTAAAGCTCAGCTTTTACCTTTCAGAACTTGTTTCTACCTCTGACAAAGAGTATGCTAATCATGATGTTATTTGGCAGTTATTATCAGACAGTCTTTTTCAAACTAATTTCAAATAGAATTTGGTGCTTAATGCCTTTTTTTTTTTAATAACGTATTTTAAAGCGTGCATCTTCTAATGTGTCTTTGCTCTTGTACATTTCTCTGGCAACCAGAGTAAGTGCTAACTGTGTTTCTGTCTTCAGGAGAAAGAGCTTAGAAGAGATTGTGTCGTTTTACCCTCCTATGAAAACTGTGAGTGAGAAAGGCAAGGAGACACTTGAGTAT